TATGGAAGGCTGAGGCGGGAGGATCACTTGAAGTCAGGAGTTTGAGATCAGCCTGGCCAACATGGCAAAATCCAGTCTCTATTAAAAATACAAAAATTAGCCGGGCATGGTGGGGGGCACCTGTAATCCCAGCTACTTGGGAGTCTGAGGCAGGAGAATCACTTGAACCCGGAAGGCAGAGGTTGCAGTGAGCCGAGATCACGCCACTGCACTCCAGCCTGGGCAACAAGAGCGAAACTCCATCTTGGGAAAAAAAAATTAATAAATAATAATAATAATTAATAAAAAATAATAATGAAAGGAGAAATTTGGGCCAGGCACACAGAGGGAAGATGGTGTGAAGACGCAGGGAAAAGACGGCCCTCTGCAAGCCAAGGAGAGGGGCCTGGACCAGATCCTCCCTCACAGTCCCGGAAGGAACCAGCCCTGCCAACACCTTCACTTTGGACTCTGACTGCAGGCCATGAGACAGTCCAGTTCTGTTGCTGAAGCACCTGGTCAGGGGTATTTGGTTACAGCAGCTGCAGCAAACAAGTGCAGCCTCCCTCGTATGGGAGTTTCCAAGCGGTCAGGAACGGGTAGGGTTTCCAGGCAGGAAGGGACAGCACACACGCTGCCAACACACACTTACTCACCACACACAGGTCTCCCGAGGCCTCTAGGGGCCCAGGCCTGTGCTGTGCAATGCTGGACCCAAAATGAATCAGCCTGGCCCTGGCCTCCAGCGGCACTTGGTTAGGTGGGGAGAAAGAGAGACAGACAGACAGACACACACACACACACACACACACACACACAGAATCAATCGGCTTGGCCCCGCCCTCCAGCGGCCGGCCTTCGGTCAGGTGGGCAGAAAGACACACACACGGGCAGCTAGAATTTGGGAGACCCAGGTTGCAATGGAGGCAGCTCCAGCCCTGGCTGAGCCCAGAGGAGTGACAGGCGTGCAGGACACAGGTACAAACTGAATCTCAAATTCATTGTTTGTGCCAGTGTTGAGCCACTACTCTAGGCTGACCCAGTGCTGGCCACTGTGGACACAGCAGGAATCAGATGGTGACAGAATTCTGCCTCTTGGAGGCCAAGCGTGGTGGCTCATGCCTGTAATCTCAGCACTTTGGGAGGCCGAGGCAGGTGGATCACCTGAGGTCAGGAGTTCGAGATCAGCCTGGCCAACATGGTGAAACCCCGTCTCTACTAAAAAT